AAAGGTTGTTTTGGCGGGCTTTTCTAGTCTGGAGCCTCACCAGGATGCCCAGTAGCCAGATGGTCCTCCTTTTAAAGGATCCCTAAACCCTAAACCCTAAACCCTAATCTCTAAACCCTTCAAAAACCCCTGCAAAGCAGCGCAGTTGCATCCATTTGCAAGAAGAGGGATGGGCGTCTTGATTCTGTAATTTCTTATTGCCGGTGGGTTCGCGAACTTACGGTCCCCTGTACATGGTTCTTGGGTTTAGGGTTTAGGGTTTAGGGTTTAGGGTTTAGGGTTTAGGGTTTAGGGTTTAGGGTTTAGCTTACTGTCGAGAACTGGCACCACACAGCCGTGAAGATCTTCTGCAAGGGACCTTCCACCTGCAGGGCTCAGGGTTTGGGGCTATAAGACGTCTTCGGATACTTCAATTTCAGGTAGGGGCAATGAAGCTTGGCGTGTTGCGCTTTGCTGGGAACAAGGAGTGGAGAGTTTTCTTCCAAAAAGAGTTGGGTTGAGCTTTTGCGGCTACTGGCTACTGGAGGTGCTAGGGTGGTGGCCATGTGTGTGTGTGTGTGTGTGTGTGTCTGTGTGTGTGTGTATGTGCATAGGGCTTAGGGTTCATAGAGGCGCGCTCTTGTTGAAGCACTTTCCACAAATGCTGGCGGGACACGTCTGACCTTCCCCCTGAATCCCGAAGCCCCCAAGCCCTAAACCCCGTAATTAAGGGTTTAGTGTGTAGTGTTTAGGGTTGTAAATTCCGTTATGAATTTTCAAAATCCTGACAAGACCTGTAGAAGCTAACATATTACAGGGGTCGGAATAATTGCTAACAATATTCCCTGATGGTCCCTTTGTAATTATCCTAGAATAACCCCCCAAAAACAGTATTCTAATTACTCAGGCCCCTATATAGAGCCACCATGTCAACAATGTGATTTGGACTTGCCCACCGTCCACCAGCCGGGTGTTGCTTGGCCCTTGCCACCCACACGGCGCGCGGACCGTAGGAAATCTTAGGCTGCGTCTTAGGCTTTGGTCGGCACGTTGGGAAGCCCTTTTCCCGAAGTCCTGTAAACCCTGCCCCCTAAACCCTATTTTGCTTAGGACTCCAGCCGCTCAACGCGCGAATAGGAATTTCAGATTCACAGGTCTATCAATGAGCCCCTAAAGAAGCCCAAAAGCTCTAAGCCAAGCGCATTCTAAACCCTAAACCCTAAACCTTCAACCCTGTAAAGACACCGAAGCCTGACCAAACTGAAGGGGCAACTCCGTGGAAAGCACCAAGATTGTCATCCTCAATGCCCAGTTAATGGGTTCTTGTTAAGGAAGTTAAACGAAGTTACCGTACAAAAGTTCTATGCTATTCAATATACGACCCAGCAAGTTACCACAGTATGGGTACAATGCTATCTATAATTTCTAGTCAGGAGTTCGGAAGCCCCAACTTTCCGGCCAACGCACCCCGACAAACTGCCCGCGGGAGCTTGTCGCGCAGCTGGGGCTAGAGACTTCAGAAGAATTCAGAACCGGTCATGTCAGAGAGATTTTGGTTGGGCTCCAATACCTCCGAAGGCTTCCTGGTTTGGAAACGAAGAGCCCTCTGAGCCTTAGGGAAACCAGAGTCCCTACTAAGCCCCTTAGAGCCTTAGGGTTCAGGGTTGGCTGCTCAACTCCTTCATGGCATGTGTTGTGCCGGTGGTGTCGGCCTGCTGTTTGGCTTCGGCTTCTTATGAAGCTTTGTTCATGGCTTCGCTGGCAACACCCCAAACCTTTAAACCTCTAAACCCATAAATTCCCAAACCCTAAACCCCAAACCCCTAACCCTGAACCCTTAAACCCCTAAACCCTTAAACTCTTGTATAGGAGACTGTAGCCCTGCACGAAAGCGACCACAGCTCCTGCGAGAAAGCATTCCGTCCGTACCCTGCGGGTCCATGTGCCTAAGGTTTATGGGGTTTAGGGTGTTTACGGGGGGCCTGTATCGTAAAGCAAGTGCAGGGTTTGGGATGTAGGGAGTTGGGGTGTAGGGTCCGAGCTTAGGGAGTGGGGTTGCGGGTTTCGGTGTTCTTAGATGGGACATATTGAGGCCCTAAAGCTACTCTTCAGGAACTTCTTTAAGGCCCGAGTGTCCGGGTGTCTGCCTCGGCATACTAGGACCCGGGGTAGGCCCTTGTTTCCTTTTTTTGGGGTTGGGGTTCCCCCACCCTAAGGGTCCATGTACCTTATTATTATATACTTGGGCCCCAAAGTCCCTATATAGGAAGTACTTTAAGGCCCAAGTATATAATAATGAGGTACATGGACCCTTAGGGTTATAATCCCCTTAACACCCAAAAGGGTACTTCCTAGCTTACTCCTGGGTCTGGCATATGGATCTTGAGGGCTCGGGCATGCCACTCGCACGAGCTTTGGCGGTTAGAAATTGGCGTGCGCCTGGGTTTGGAAGGGGTGTAAGGTTTAGGGTTTAGGGTTTAGGGTTTAGGGTTTAGGGTTTATAGGGGTCCTAAAGCCCACAGCCCCCAAAAAGCTTTTGGCGTCCTAAAGCCCACAGCCCCCAACAAAAATCTAGAAAAAACACGCAAGCCCTCACACCCTAAACCGAATCCGCCTAAGCGCTAGAGAGCTCCAAGGCCCGCAAGTTCGGTCGCAAAAGGTTTCAAACCCGAAGCATAAGAAGACCTACCTAGAGTGACCGATATATACCTTATCACAGTGCAAGTGTACCAAAATCATGGGCACTTATCTGCTTTTGATAGCATACCCAGGTAAACCCAAGAAGTGATGTTGGGCAAAAGAGCTGCCAAACCCTAACATCCCGCAACCCTTGAACCCTAACCCCTGTGAAAAGTTGAGGGTTCAGGGTAGTTCTGCGATGGCGGCCCTGAGCCATAAGCACAAGAAGCCCATTACCCGAACATCCCAGCAGCCACAAAAGTGATGTTTGGGCAATGAGACTGCCCATTCTGGAACACTCAAACCCCCATAATTCCCCCCCCCCCCCCAGGGTTAAATACCCCCCTCCCATATACTATCACCATAATGGGGGTGGGGCCCCATATACTACAGTCTAACCATAATGGGAGTGTTTAATATCAGGGGGGGGGTTCAATATTCGGGGGAGGGGATTATAGAGGGTTTGCTGACGATGCAGGGTTCTGGGCTTCAGGAAATTCTGCAACTTGTATGGTTGGCTTCGAGGGTCAGGCAACTCAAGCGTGGGTGCTTTCCGTATGTGTGTGTGTTGATGTGAGGTATGGTTCCTTTTTGGCGCCTTTCGGAAACTGTACCCGAAGCATAAGACCATATACTACAACAGCTGTCCAAGAAAGGGCTTACTATAGGGGACTTTCCATGCAATTTGCTGCCGAACGTGGCGAGCGTCACCGGCAACCTTGTACCGACGTTGGTTAGTGATCCAACACCCTGCCATAGCATCCCTGAGCCAAAGACGCATATTGAAGGATAGACCTCACCACTAGCTGAGGTCTACTACCCCATTTAATCCAAACCCCCGCAGCGCAAGCTCAGGCTTAACCTGTAAACCCGTTTATTCACCCTACAAATCGTATAAACCCCTCAAGCCCGATAACCCCTGTAAACCCGACATGAAACCCTAAGGATCCATGTACTTGTATAGTATAGTATATACTTGGCCCGTAAAGGAGTTCCTATGTAGTAGCTTGCGGGCCCAAATACACACAGGTACATGGATCCTCAGGGTATCTACAGGTAGTTTCATGGGCCATGTAACAACCTTCAGAGCGTAAGCCCGCACGCCTAAGCGCAGGAAGCTTTCTACGTGGCCACCAAGGGTGGCAGTTGTCTGGTCAGGGGCTCAAGGTTTAGGGGTTTAGGTTTGGGGTTTAGGGGGTTTCAAGTAGCACACACCCCCCCCCCCCTACCCCCCCCAAATCCCTGTAAACTACACCTTACAAGCCCTGGAAACCTTACCCGAAGAACCCTTGACACAGAAACCTACAGACTAAACCCAAGGGGCTCCAGAGGGTTGAGTTTTGGTCTCGTTCGCGTAGACAAATCGGGTTTACGAAGCTGAGGGTTGAGGTCAGGGGTTCAGAGGCTTGATGGGCAGCTGAAACCCTAAACCACCCTAAACCCCAAACCCTAGACCCTCGGGCCGAGAGGTTGTTTCAAGGATTGAGCTTGCGCCCCAGAGTTCCCTGTTCGAGGGCTACAAGGGTTAGGGTTTAGGGTTTAGGGTTTAGGGACTAGGGTTTAGTTTAGGGTTTAGGGTTTAGGGTTTAGGGTTTACCCTAAACTGCAAGATCTGCTTAACGCGCATGGGAATTGTGATGGCGATCCCAATGGGACGGCTGGTGGCCCTAAGCCCATGCATCTCATATGCCAAGACCTGGACCTTAAACCTGGATCCCCAATTAAAACATCCAATGCTATAGTAGTTTCAGGAGTGGCGCTCATGATCATGACGCAGACCTAAACCCTAAACCCTAAACCCTAAACCCTAAACCCTAAACCCTAAACCCTAAACCCTAAACCCTAAACCCTAAGCCCTAAGCCCTAAGCCCTAAGCCCTAAGCCCTAAGCCCTAAGCCCTAAACCCTAAACCCTAAACCCTAAACAGTGACAGGCCTTGTGCTTTCCGGCGAAGGAACCTGCTCCTGGATGTATTCGTTGCACTACACTACAGTCCCTGACCCCTCGTGGGCTTCCGGGATATCTACCTGCAACCTAACCAACCTAAAACCCTAAACCCTAAACCCTAAACCCTTCAAGCCAGTAGATTGCATCTCCTTAGATGGGTAGAACTCCCACAGCCCATAGTTGGGGAGCAAGGCATAGGGGTTCCAGGTGTTGATTAGATTTTGGAGGGTCAGGGGGGGGCAGGGGGGTTGTGAGCAATCGCCCGGTTGGAAAAGCCACAAGTTCAGCCGCGAAGACACCCACTTTCTCCTGCTGGACTTGTCAAGACAACCTGGAGAGGCTCTTAGGGTTTGCCTTACTGCCACTCAAAAACTCTCTGGCCAAAGCAAATCGCCATGGACGCAGGCTTTACCTTTACATGCAAGCCACTGCTCACGCCAGTGCCCTGCCAAAGATGGATGCGCAGCATATCTCCAGGGCTTTTGTCCACCATTCCAGCCCCACCGGCCTCACGTGAGCTTTACACAAACGTGCAGCATGGGTTTCTTGCTGCGAGCTTGCTTTGCCTCTTTCGGACCAGCCGGAGTAGGTCTCCCAGGCTAGGCCATGCAAGTGTCCGAGCTCTGGCCTCCACAGTCCTGCTGGTGGATGCAGACTCGCATCAGATGCACGAGATTCGTCTCGCAATGCAAGAGCTTGGTTCAGAGGACGCACAGCTTGCTGTCACTGTTTTTGCTGCGCCTGGGCGAATTGACAGCAACAAATGGAGTCACTTCTTGCAGAAGCACACGATTACATTCCAGTCAGTGAAGAGGGTCGGCGGACGTGTGGACCCCAATGATGAAGCCATTCAGTCTCATATGCGAAGCCTCGTTGAAGATCCTAGTTTGGAAACACTAGCGCTATTGACTTCTGACACCGACTTCTTGGAAGTCGCGCTGAAAACCTCAACAAAGTGCATCCGCGTAGTGGTCTTGGTTCCAGAAGCAATGCGCGGCACTATGCGCAAATATGCTGATGCTGGTATTGAGGTTGTTCCCTTGCGCCGGAGAAACGGCGACGTGGCGTACACTGTTCGAGCCACTCTTCTCCCAGATGGCACAGGCGCCGTAAAACGATGCAAGCCCATACCAAGGTTGCCAGACTTTCGGGAGGAGGTAGAAGCGCTTCTGAGCTTCTTAACCGGACTGGGTTACAGATCGGCAGAGGGAGCGAGGATGTTGCCATGCGTTGCAAAATGTTGGTTTGCAAACATTCAGAAGCCCCTGACGGTCTTCCCAAGCCAAGCTGCTGTGATGGCACTGCGTGCCGAGATGCAATTGCAGCACAGATGGGCAAAAAGCGCAGGCAATCTGGTTTTTGTTTTTCCGTGTTCTGTCAGTAAGCCACCCAAGAGCAAACAACTGGAGCTTGGGGGAACGTTAGCATTCAGAATCCTGCAGGGTGGTGGTCCGTCTATGCTTCATGACTCAGAAGAGCTGACCCCGCAAGTTCTGAGCATGCTTGGATATCTAGACGATGGACTCAATGCCGATCTTCTCGAGGCATTGCTCGTCTTCATCAATGCAACCCGGAACAAGAGTCTCTTGAAACAGATGGATGCCCTTCCTCGTCCTGGACAAGCAGCCGCTGACATTTGCAGCAAAATGCGACGTGCCTTCCTCTCGAGCAGAGGTGATGGACATTGGCAGCCTGCTCCGAAAGATGGAGCCGTGCGAAAAGTCTTGACGCAGGGCGGCTACTTGCCAAAGACGCCTGCTTGCCCAGAAGCCGTGCTTCTGGCGAAGCAGCGATACAGCAGAAAGAACATGCTACCGGACATGAAAACCTACAATGGCTACCTTTGGCAGATCATGCGGTCCATCAACGCGAGTGACCCATCAAGACGAGATGCAATTTGGCTTTGACATGCCAAGGTATCTGGCGGCATTGTCGATCTGTCTGTTGTGTGGTCGAGACCCTGCCACCCCCCCTCCATGTTTGCTGTTGCAGAAACTACCAAAAAAGCAGTTACACCGCCCGTGTGCTTCCTTGCTTAGAGAGAGAGCGATACCCTTAATATTATATTGCAATAATTGGGCTCTCTGCGTGTGCCGAGGCCTATCCTGCGCTGGAGGCCACTTCGTTCCTTGCACTGGTTGCTCTTCATGCTTTCACCCTTCCACCCTTTTCAGGGTTTAGGGTTTAGGGTTTAGGGTTTAGGGTTCCGGCGAGGTTCGAAAGCACACGAGCCCCAAATCCATGAACCCTACACCCAAACAAACCCTTACACTTAAAGCAAAGATTTGTAGCTCCATTCCCTACTTGTGGCTTAATTCGCAAGGTGGGATTACGTTCCAAAACCCAAACCCTATATAAACCCTAAAGGCCTGTGGGACAGATCCCGTGTAGTGCCTAGACAAGGCCACGGCACGAGCGCTAATGGGACGAAGTCCTCGACGTCCCATGTCTTTCTGAGCCTTGTGAACCCGAACCCCTAAAGCCCAAGCAGTTTTTTCTCAGCCGAGAAAAGTCGATGTGTTTTGACAAGCCGATGACCCTGAGACCCTTGTCCCTAAACGCATAGAGCCCCTAAACCCATCCACTTGTGCTTCCCATGGTTGAGTGCTCAAGGTCTATAGGGTTCAATTCGGGTTGGGGCCTCCACAAGGCACTCGATGTTAGAAAAGCTTTATCACTCCAACAACGAGCTTCAACGAACACGCTGACGGAAATGTGTGCCGGCAACCCTAAACCCTTAAACACTATACACCCTATAAGCCCTATAAACCCCCAAAAACCCTACAAAACCTATAAACCCTAAAAACCCTAAAAACTTTAAAAACCCTAAGCCCTAAACCCTAGCACATTGAAGTTAAGGGTCCATGTACCTTATTATTATATACCTGGTTTCAGGCCTCAGTGTGCCCCTATGTAGGTAGATTGACCCTCAGGGTGAGTGAGGATGCAGTTTAGGGTTTAGGGTTTAGGGTTTAGAGTTTAGGGTTTAGGGTTTAGGGTTTGCGCCCATCCAGAAAGGGTTTCGTCCAGGACTTTCTGCGCCACTTCGGTGTCCTCAAGGCTCACCAATGTGTGCTTTGCTTGGATTTATAGCTATGTTGTAGTACAGCTCACGCCGTAATTGAACCCTAGCATTTAACCCTGAGCCCTTCTTTACAGGTATGTACGTGTTTACATGTATATAGATATTTATACGCAGCCAACAACGGAGACCCGAGGGTTACGGTCTCGAGCCCATACGAGCAAGTGGTTTTGGTGCTTGGTGGTTGGTGCCTGCTCTGACTGAACACCCTCAACCAAAAGCCCTCATCCCTAAACCTTAAGTCCTAAATCCCAGACACCGTCATGTCTACATGCTCGTGATGGCTGTCCCCTTGCATTCCTCGAAACCATGTAGGCCCTTGGGATATCTTATATTGTCCCTTATTGGGCTTAAGAGTGTCATATTCAGAAACGTTTTTAGGGTTTAGGGTTGAGGGTTGAGGGTTGAGGGTTTAGGGTTTAGGTTTTTTTGTTCAAAGGTTTTAAGGGCCCAACCTAAGAAACCTAATCCCAACATCACAAGTTGAAGCCGGGGCGGGGGGGGGGGGGGGGATGTTGAACAGTCGGCAGGGTCCATGTGAAGCAGGGTTTGTCATTCTGTTTTTGGTGAGTGTATCTAAGGTTATGGGTGAGTGTATATACCGGGTGTCCTTTTGGGGGGGTACAAGAAATATATACCATACTTCATGTAGGTTTAAGGTGCGATAAGTTATGTTGCACGTAGCCTGCTGGGGTGTGGAGATTGAGGACAAACCAGGAGCTGGCAGTGTTGGACCCTGACCTTTCTTAGTTTCTTGGTACACGTAACCCTAAACCCTAAACCCTAAACCCTAAACCCTAAAACCCTAAAACCCTAAAACCTAAACCCTAAACCCTAAACCCTAAACCCTAAGGACCCTGACCTTTTTTAGTTTCTTTGTACACGTACTGCTTTGCTGCATGGCGCACATCCCAAACCCAAATCACACGACCCTGCTGGATTGGGGAAAGGTCAGAGATGCGAACTCCGAAACCCTGAATCTTAACCCTAAACCCTCAAGCAACTAGGAAGCCGAGGAACGACGCCACCCACTTTCCTCAACCCTAAACCCTAAACCCCAAACCCTAAACCCTAAACCCTAAACCCTAAACCCTGAACCCTAAACCCTAAACAGGGTTTAGGGTTTAGGGTGTTTGAGCCTGACAAGCGCCCAGAATGCCTGACCATTGACACTGTCCCAGGATGGCCCTTAATACCCTCTGAAGAAGATTCCTCAATATGACCCTCTTAAACCCAATTAGGGTTTAGGGTTTAGGGTTTAGGGCTTAGGGTTTAGGGTTTAGGGTTCAGGGTTTAGGCTTCGCAAGACTCTCCTGAAACCCTTCACCCTGAACCCTAAACCACAATCCAGGCGGCTGCAGCTACTGCAGATGCCAAAACTACCGAGGAAGCTCCGATGTTGAGTTGTTCACCATACGGGTCCATGTACCTCACTATTAAACACTTGGGCCTTAAAGTACTTCCCATATACGGACTTTGGGGCCCAAGTATATAATCATGAGGTACACAGACCCTTAGGGACAGGTTATGGTCTTCGAGTCTCCTGAGATGAGTTTGGCTTTCCGGGTAGGGTTTAGGGTTTAGGGTTTAGGGTTTAGGGTTTTGGGTTTAGGGTTTAGGGTTTAGGGTTTAGGGTTTAGGGTTTAGGGTTTAGGGTTTAGGGTTTAGGGTTTAGGGTTTAGGGTTTAGGGTTTAGGGCTGTTAGGCGTCGCAATCGCAATCCGTAAATCTCTACACCCCACGCCTGACACAAACTAAGAACCTCTATGCCTAGATGGACCGCGACAGTACCCTAAACCCTAAACCCTAGAGCCCTCGATTCAACAAGGGCCGTTTGCGTGATGCGTTGACGAGGGCACCGCGCCCATGGCTGTACTGCATCCTCTGATGCTTGTCGGAACATACGCGGCTGCTCCGCATCTGCATGGCATGCAGATCATGCTGACGCTTTCATGCGGGATGCGGGTTGCTTCTGGTCGAGGTTCCGGTAGTTTGGGGTTGATATGTGGCTGTTGGACCCTGCATGACCATAAGCACTCCTCCACTGGGATAAGCGCGCGTTCTGTGCAGATCCCGCTGTGGGTTCTCCTTGCGCAGGCTGTGGGGCGCGGCACGCATGCCACGGCGCAATACCCCGATGTGCTGTTTATGTTTGACCACCTTTCAGTGTTGCTACTTGGGGACCATCAAGACCCTTGTGTGCGTGTGTGCGGGTGCTGGTCTGGTTCGAGTTTTGGCATATTCGTCCCTAAACCCTAAACCCTAAACCCTAAACCCTAAACCCTAAACCCTAAACCCTAAACCCTAAACCCTAAACCCTAAACCCTAAACCCTAAACCGTTTCGCAACTTACAGAGAAAGACCAGGAGTTGTACTGCTTGAAGTGTGGGCTTCCCCTTAGTAGCTGAATGAGTACACCCTTACACTTCTTGGGATACGATAACCACCTTATAGAACTGAAAGCGTGCTCTTTTGGGGGGGCTTAAATGAACTCAGCAACTAAGTCCCTGTACATCTTGTACTACAAGCTTCATCCGAAAGCCGACGGACGTAGGGCGGCGGAGGGTTGAACTACCCAGAGACTCCAAAACCCCTTAATTAAGGAGTATACCTTAAATTAGAATAGGAGCCCTAATATGATTTAAGGTATATTCCTTAATTAAGGGGTTTTGGAGTCTTTGGGTACCTGGACCTAGAGTATCCAGGAACCGTGACATGCTTACTGGCCTTTTTCTTTGTCATAGCTGGGTAACATTTTACATTTTTAAGGGTACTTAAACCCAATAAGGAAAATAAATTTAAAATTTTAATAATATACCAACCATGAACTAGTTTTCTGGCTGGCTCTTAGCAGGGAAAGAGGGAATGAGGTGCCCTAATCCCTGGAAAGGTATATATAGGGCCCTAATTCCCAATTTCCCTGCTAAGAACCCGGGCCTTTTTCCCTTTGTCTTCTGCTTTTGCTTTCGCAGGTAAGGCTTACGGCTGTCGTGTTTTAGGGGCTTCCTGGCGTGCGCAGTGAAAGTTCGCTCGGATCGGCTTGTGGCAGGCTTGGTAGGAATGGTCAGGTAGGGCTTAAGATTGGAGCTTCATGGGTAGACATGCGTAGGGTCATAAGGATGGCATCCATTATTTTGGCCTTTTTCACGGTAATTAGAAGACCCCTCCTCTAATCCAAGTAGGGTTTAGGTGAAGGTGTAGGGTTTAGGGTTGAGGGTTTAGGGTTTAGAGTTTAGGGTTTAGTGTTTAGGGCTTAAACTAAGCCCTCATTTCCTTGATCGGCGGCCAGGGATCCGGGGTCTTGCGTTGCTGTTCGGCATATCAAGGGATTTAGACTGCTTCCCGCAAAAGTTGTGCCCCTAAAGTTTCCTCTTAGTATACTCCTAATGTGTAGGGTTTAGGGTTTAGGGTTTAGAGTTTAGGGTTTGGAGGTTAAAGATTCCTTTTAGTATACTCCTCATATGGCCCGTGTACTACCTGAAGGATCTTTAAAAGGGTTCCCCGAAACCTTGGCAAGGTACAACCCCTAGAGAATATATATGTCTTGGGGCCTATAAGGCTTTAGGGTTTAGGGTTTAGGGCCCTATGGAATTACATCGGAGTGTGGGAAATCCCAAGCAACGTGGCTCGTGGATCCAGGGTTTTGGGAGCTCCCCTAGCAGCACCCAGAACCTTAATCCCTAACCCCGCTAGGGTGAGGTGAACGTAGTCCAGGAATATACATGTGCACAGATCATAGGCCTGAAACTACCTATGGGATATTCCTGATATTGCCGAGTTATGCACTGAGCGTATTGGTAAGACCCCAACCAGCAGCAAATGCCGATCAGCTACACCTTCAACCCTAAACCTTTAAAGTGTGTTTTTTTTTCCAGCTATATGGGTCTTTCCCAAAATAGAGTTGCCCCTGTGTACCCAGACCCCCAAAAGTTCCAAGCCAACACGAGGAACCCTCAGCCTCGGGGTACGTCGACTGTTCAGGGTTGCACTCGTTAGGGTTTCAGCGTTTTTGGCTTTTCGGTTAGGGTTTCGGGTTTAGTGTTTAGGGTTTAGGGTATAGGGTTTACGGTTTGGCTTCAGGGCCGATATTGAGGATTTCAGGGCTTCAGCCCTCGCAAGCCTGAAATTCTCGCTCAGAGGGTTTAGGTTAGGGTTCAGGGTTTGGTCTTTGTGAAGGGTTTAGGGTTTTAGGGTTCAGGGCTTTAGGGTTTAGGGTTTAGGGCTTAGCATGTAGGGCTCGGGGTTCCCAACTCCAAGCCCCAAGTTGACACTTTGCGCCTGGCCGGGAGCTTCGGATCAGAAGCAAGGGCAGAGACGAGCCATTCATGTCGTATAAGCACTAGGGTTTAGGGTTTAGGGTGTAGGGTTTAGGGTGTAGGGTTTAGGGTTTGAGCAGCACGTTGCGTTTCAGCTTGAACGCCTGCCTAGAGTTGTTCATCTGAAGAGGTACCTGCCAGCCAGCTCAGCAAGCCCCCTTAAATTGCAAACGCTGCTCTAGGCAGTCCTAAAAGCTCAACTCCCTAAAGTCCAAGGCACCAAAACAGGACCCCCAATCCGCCGGCCAGAGCCAAGTCAAGCAAGTTACCCTGAGCCCTATTTCCCTGTTAAGCTTCAGAAACCCTATTCCCCGAAGCCCGAAACAGTGAAACAACTGGCGCGAGAAAGATGCCTGTCGCTAGTTTCTAGGTCAGTTTGTGTTGCACGTCCTTTGCATTCAAAAATATACAAATTTTACCAACGCTCGCTCCCGCAATTTGTTTTGAAAACAAACTAGTGGGGTCTCACCGCCGAGCAAGTGCACCTGACAACCACCGCACTTTAATACACAGTGGACAGCAAACAGCAAAAGACCACTAAATGATAGCATACACTCGGGCCACGAAGTGGTGGCTACATTGCTGAAGCTGTAGATACCTTTAGAGTCGCCCGAGCCTGGCAATGGCACGACACGCCTCGGAGCCGGTCTTGGTGCCCTGGCGGCTGGCTTTGGAGGTCCGGGCCAATTCTTGGCGGTCGAGGGGAATTAGAGGTATTTAGGGTTTAGGGTTTAGGGTTTAGGGTTTAGGGTAGCTTCAGATGGCCATGGGCTAAAACCGTTTCAGGGTTTCAAGGGTCTTGGGGCCAGTACTCAGGGCTCTTTCGAAGGCAGGCTCCCCCTGGGTGTCACGGCTTCCACGCAAGCGTGCTGGCGTTTCAGGACATGGCGGGTTTTCGGGGTTCCTTCAGAAGGAGTATGTAGTTTTTTGGGGGGGGTATATAAGGGGTACCCGGAATTTCGTATTCACCCACATAAGGTTTCAGGATTTCAGGTCAGTCCTGGCTTTTTCCTTAGCAAGCCAGAGGCTTAAATCCCCGGAGAGCCCAACAACCCTCGGTTTCGCAACAGAGTGTGAGCTTAGGGTTTAGGGTTTAGGGTTTGGGGTTTGGGGTTTAGGGTTTGGGGTCTCATAGTCCAGGTCAATTAGAGAGGCTTACGGAGCTTAAAGGGTTTGTAGGGCTTGCAGCGTTCACACGCTAAAGCTCGTTGGGTAGCTAATGTGGTCCCTGATCTTCTTTAAAGGTTTCTGATGTAGGTCCCTTGGGTGTCGTAGGGTGATGAGGGGCACATAAGGAAGATTAAGGGACCATGGAACTCCCTCCCTTAAGCCCTAAACCCTGAACCCTAAACCCTAAACCCTAAACCCTAAACCCTAAACCCTAAACCCTAAGCGCGAAGCTCTTTTTTTCTGGAGCGGTGATGGCCTCCCCCTCCACCCGAGCGCCAGGGTGGGGCGCGAGCAGCGCTCCTCGAGCCGACTCTTGGTTGCCCTAAACTCCGAAACCCACAAAACCCATATTTAGGGTTTAGGGTTTAGGGTTTAGGGTTTAGGGTTTAGTGTTTAGGGCTTAGAAGGTTAAGGGTTTCGGGTTTAGGGTTTATAGGGCTTAGAAGCTTAAGGGTTTCGGGTTCAGGGATGTTCAGGGTTTAGCTTTAGGGTTTTGGGTTTAGGGTTTAGGGTTTAGGGTTCAGGGCTTTTAAGGTTTAGGGTTTTAGGGTTTTGGGTTTTGGGCTTAGGATTTAGGATTTCGGGTTTTTTTAAGGTTTAGGGGGGAGCAGAGGTGGGTGAGGGGGCGGTTGGTGGGGTACTTGCTGCAGGTTGCCTGGTGGATTGGCCAATCCGGTATCTTCGTTGCTGCTACTTACAACCTGGTTCCATACTTGAACCCCTAACCCGAAACCGTAAACCCTAAACCTTAAACCCTAAACCTTAAACCCTAAACCAGCAATTTGTTGGGCTATGCAAGAAAAGAATCAAGAGCCAGGAAGGTCGAAAGAGGAATTCGGACGCCTGTACGCAGGCTTTGAGAGGATTTCTTTGGTTTCAGTGGGACCGGTTGAAACTTCAGAGGAAAGCTGCGTAGGCTGGACACAAGGTTTTTGGGTCAGGGGAGGGCACTGGCTAATTTTAGAGAAGGCAGCACGCAGTACCTGAACCCTTACTTGTACACAGTTTCCTTTTGGTACCTACGTTTATGGTTTCCATTGCTCCTTGTTTGGGGTACCTACTTTAGTTGTTTCTGTTGTTGCATAGTAGTAGAATGGGTTACTTACCCGCTCCTGGCGCTATATAGACCGCCAACCGTAGTTCCGCCATGTCGGACTCGAATTTAAAGCACATGGCTAGTATGGTCCAGTAAGACAATTAAGGCTTAGGGTTCAGTGTTAGCACCTTATCAAGAGGTCTAGGGCCTCCCTCACCTCCCGCGTTGGGTTTCGGGCTTCGGGTTTAGGGTTCTCATAATCCCCAGCATCCCACCCTCCTGAATAGGGAGAGAGGGATTGTAGGGCGTCTTGGACCATCCCGGCTCGAAGACACTTGCAATCCTTGAGGCAAGATTTACTTCAGCGTGCACAGCAGGCCCCCTGGCACGCACTAGATTCCGCCGAATCCGGGGCAGGTCTTAACCTCATGCAGATGTCTGAGGCGCACATGGCTGTCAGGTCCTTTGACAAAGCCTTTGGAATGGAATCCTGAATATGCTTATAAGTACAGCGGTGTCCCGATACCCTCGGCGCCGGCCCACCCTAAACCCTAAACCCTAAACCCCAAACCCAAAACCCTAAACCCGGCGCGACGACTCGAAGAGGGAGTTCGCTGTACGGGAGGGACGCATCCTTGGATATTCACGCCTCTCCAAGCCCTGAAACCCCCGAAACCTAAAACCCAAATACGTTGAAGTAATGAGTTAACCCTGAGAGCGTAGGGAGCTTCAGGATGGTTGGCTTGAGGGTTTTGGGAGCCCTGAAACCCCCCCCCCCCCCCCTAATTCGGAATAGGGTTTAAACGGCGGGGTCGGTTTCGGCAGGATTTTGTGGAAGGGGAAGGGATGATGAGTTACCCTAAACCCTAAACCCTAAACCCTAAACCCTAAACCCTAAACCCTAAACCCTAAACCCTAAACCCTAAACCCTACACCCCAGGATGTCGGAGTCCATATTATCCTGGAGCCCTGCCCCCCGGCTGCTGCGCCGTCGGGCGAGGCGGTCGCTCCCCAGGCCTGGGTTCACCTTACTGGACCCTAAACCCTAAACCCTAAACCCTAAACCGCCCTAAACCCTAAACCCTAAACCCTAAACCCTAAACCCTAAACCCTAAACCCCAAACTAACCCTGTGTAACCCCTAACCCTGAACCCTAAACCCTACAGTAGGGAATGAGGGAAAAGCGTACCCTATGCAACCCCTAGCCCGAAACCCGAAGCCCTAAACTAGGGAATGCGGGAAGCAGGGGTACCCTATCTAACCCCGAACCCTACAAACCCTAAACCCTGAACCCAAACTAGGGAATGAGGGAAGCCGGTACCCTATGTAACCCCTAAAAACCTAAACCCCTCACTCAATCCTAAGAACCAGTAAAAGCACAAGTAGGCCCCAAGCGGGTATCTTCCATTTATCCCTTCCTGGGTTTTAGGGGATTCTTCAGAGGGTTTATTCAGAGGGTTTAGGGTTCAGCGATTGGTGTGCAGCTTCCAAATCGGGATGTCTTATATGTGTTCCCTTTTTTCTGTTTCTAGAGGATCAGATTTAGGGTTGGGGGTTTCCTATAACTGGGGTTCAGGGTTCAGAGATCATGTGTAGGAGCATTGCTCAGAGGCTTTTCATGGGCCATCCGAGAATTCAGACGTTTAGGGCGTCGGTTCTGAACCCTATATACGATAGGCTCTTAAAACCCGTCAAGCCCTGAAAATGAACCTCTGAACCCCACATACCCTAACCCTAAACCCTCAACCCTAAACCCTAAACCCTAAACCCTAAACCCCGATGAGCTCATGGACCCTGCAAGCCCTGTAAACCCTAGCAACCCTATTCCTCCCATGTAACCGAGAAGCCCTGTAAACCATGAGCCCTATGAACCCGCTGAACCCTACATGCCCGGAAGCCCTAAACCCTAAACCCTAAACCCTAAACCCTAAACCGCGTACAGTCTGCAAGCCCTCTAAAGCCCATGAGCCAATGAGCCCTATTATGACCTGGAAGTTCTGCGAAAATCAGGACTCTAGGGGTTGTACCTTGGACCCTTAAGGTTGTACCTTTGGCTTTCGGGGCCCCTTTTTTAAAGACTCCTAAGGCAATATAAGGGCCATGAACCCTAAACCCTAAGCCCTAAACCCTACAACCTTAGGGGTGCGAGTCTTAGTCCCCTGAAGGACGTGGTGACCATCCGCGGGACCATGTGGCAGAAGCGCCAGGCCGTCCGAGCTATCATTGAGCATCAGGGCTGCAAGGAGGTGTAGGGTTTAGGGTTTAGGGTTTAGGGTTTAGGGTTTAGGGTTCAGGGTTCAGGGTTCAGGGTTTAGGGTTTAGGGTTTAGGGTTTAGGGTTTAGGGTTTAGGGGTTCAGTGCAAAGAAGGTACCCAAAGAGCCCAATACCCCTTCACTAGGGAATCTACCATAGTTTATATGGTGATCCTTATTAGGATTTCAAGTACATTCCGAAGTTGAAGTGGGGCTCTTTGGGTAGGCTGAGAGGCTGATTCTGGTTGGGGCTTAGACTTTTGCGTGGGAGCGTTTAAAACGTGACCCAAGAAGGACACGACGCGCCGGGTAGGCTTCACAACTTAGGTCTTGCTGGGTTGCTGCTAAGCCAGAGTTCGGAAACCACGTTGTTTGGCACATATTTGGGGCAATTTGAGGGGGGGTGCCAAAAATAGGTACGCTTTGTGTGTATTTGGTTTTCTTTGGGGGTCTAGAACAAGGATTTTAGTATTTTGTAAATGCGGAACGAAGCCGATGCGATGAAAATGAAACGACAGCGAATTGTACACTCACATGAATCATATGCTACTTTGGCATACTACAGAGTGTCAAGAATGCCCCGCCGCAACAAAGCTTCCATATCCAGAAATTGCTGGCGCCACGCAGAACAAACAGTTTCAGCCACATCAGTTGCACGAGGACAGGAACGCGGTTCCCCATAGAAGTGAATGACAATGAGCTTGGAGCAAAAGTTTCATTACACACACGGTCCAGGTGGGGCTTGACTTGACTTGTGGCCGCTGCAAGTTGCCCAAATACCCTAAACCCTAAACCCTAAACCCTTCCTCTTCAGGCTCTCTTGGTCCGTCGGACCCGAGGCCTGGAATCCTAGAAGTGCTTGAGGCTTCCGATCTAGAACTCCCCCCCTCCCCCCCACCAAATTGTAGATCACTCAGCTACAAGTCGGGATGTCTTGCCTAAACCCCTAACCCTTAACCCTTAACCCTTAACCCTTAACCCTTAACCCTTAACCCTTAACCCTTAACCCTTAACCCTTAACCCTTAACCCTTAACCCTTAACCTTTAACCCTCACCCTTAAGCCCTAAGCCCTAGAACCCTAGAACTCTCAAACCCCTAAACCCTACATCCTCAGCATGCCAAGGTGTCTCCAGGAGCACCAACCTAAACCCTAGAACCCTACCTGAAACCCCAAAGCCCTAAAACCCTAAACCCAAACCCCCAAAAAAAATGAAACCCTAAACCCTAAACCCTAAACCCTAAACCCTAAACCCTAAACCCTAAACCCTCAACCCTAAACCCTAAACCCTAAACCCTAAACCCTAAACCCCATGCCAAGGCGTCTCCTAGAGCACCAGGGTGTGCCGAACGGGTCGGGCTCCATGTTGCTGCCCCTCGGCGGTTTAGGGTTTAGGGTTTAGGGTTTAGGGTTTAGGGTTTAGGGTTTAGGGTTTAGGGCGAAGCCTAGGGCACAGGATGTTACGGTTTGCTCCCCTTGAGACTCCAAGGCGCGGTGATGTGGAGCCACCCCCCACCCCCAAGAGGGTTTAGGGTTTAGGGTTTAAGGTTTAGGGTTTAGGGTTTAGGGTTTAGGGTACCTACTTGAAGGCTCATGTGTACTGATCAGTGGGTGTATAGGTACCTGAACTTGGGATGTTCCCCCTTTTTACTCAAAGTCCTCAATGGGGATTATCGTACTCCCCGGTAGAATCCCTGTTCAGGACTGTTAGTATACATCCCAAACCCGAACTAAGGTTATAACCATAGCTACCCTACTTGTAGCCCTACTTATATAAGTACCCATGAACCCCAAGTACGATGCTTGGGAAGCAAGAGATCTTCGTACTAGGGTTTAGGGTTGGGGATTGGGGTTTAGTTTAGGGTTTAGGGTAGGGTTTAGGGATCTGCACTATCTCTGTAGGATGTGCCGTAGTGGAGGAGAGGACGTGCGACAGAATCCAGTAGATGAGAGATTGACCATAGTGGTTGGATACCTCGTCATGACATAGAAAACCCTAAACCCTAAACCCTAAACCCTAAAGGTGGAGTAGTGACCTAGGTGATCTGCCAACAGGTAGGGTTTGGGTCCAGAACCAGCACCCTCCGAAGCAGCACCCTCCGAAGCTCTCGTCTCAGCCTCCTCCCCCCCCTCCCCCCCAATTTCGCTAAACCCTAAACCACGACCCCCCCTTAACCCGAAACCCGACGACCTTCACCCAGCCCAGAACACGACAAATCCTCAAGTTCTGGCTGCTTCCGGCAGACCCTAAGCCCGAAAGCTCAGGTTATTAAATCCTAAAGCCCTAAAGCCCTAAGGCCCTAAAGCCCTAAAGCCCCAAAGCCCTACAGCCCTAAAGCCCTACAGCCCTACAGCCCTAAACCCTAAACCCTAAACCCCAAATCTAGCCATGGATAGTCAGGTTGCTTCCCAGCGCCGGCTCTCACGCGCTTCAGGCGCCGGAGCTCTGGTCGGGGTTGCCTCCTGGATGCACCAAACGAAGGGCTTTTGTGTTTTTTGGTGTTCTTTCCTGTTGTTTAGGGTTTAGGGTTTAGGGTTTAGGGTTTAGGGTTTAGGGTTTAGGGTTTAGGGTTTAGGGTTTAGGGTTTAGGGTTTAGGGTTTAGGGTTTAGGGTTTAGGGTTTGGGGTCTAAGGTTAGGGTCTAGGATTTAGGGTTTAGGGTTTACTGCTTAGGGTTTAGGGTTTAGGCTGGGTGGGCTTTTTACGACGGTAAAGCCCCATCAGAGGACCTATATAATACACAAACCCCAATGACACCCTTCGGCCCTTACAACCACTGAAGCCTAAACGGAACCCCAAAACACTCTAAACCCCAAACCCAAGCCCTAAACAGCCTGAACACCCCAATCCCCAAGCCCCAAGCACCCCTAACACCCCAAACCCCAACCACCCTAAAAATCCGAAGCCCTTCCTAGTCAACCTAACCCCTCACAACCCCAAAACAAACCCACCCATACAAAACCCTTCAATCCCGCCAAACCCCAAACCCCAAACCCCAAACCCCAAACCCCAAACCCCAAACCCCAAACCCCAAACCCCAAACCCCAAACCCTAAACCCTAAACCCTATAAACCCTAAACCCTAAAACCCTAAACCCGAACATCCCGCACCCTCCCTCCTAAACCCTAAACCCTAAACCCAAAAAGTCCTAGAAACCCTAGAAGCCCTAACAAGCTCGACGCTGCCCAGGCAGCTCCTGGGCGCTCAGCTCACGCTTCCGGCGCCAGACTTCGCCGGCGACCGCTTCCTCGCCCGAGCGCGAGGCGTGATGCAGGGTGTCGGGTATAGATGTGTGTATATTCATATATATATATATACATATACATATATATATATATGTATAATTATATACATATATATATATATATTCTGTATAATCCACACACACGTATATACATATATATGTATGTATATCAATACACATGCATTTATGCAGATGAATAATGTTACACACAAAAAATCTGCTCCTGCGCATGGATCTTATCATGCACTGGTGCTTGCATGAATCCCACTCTGCGTGCGCATGTACGTACGCACGCGTGCCTTGTTGTGTTTACGTATTTGTCTTTGCATGTGTGTGTGTGTGTGTGTGCGGCCGTTTGTTTTTGTTCATGCTGGCATGCGTTTGCGTTTTCAATCGAAACGCCATCTGCAATTTGTGATTTCAGGTCTACATTCTCGCATTTTGTCATGCGACGCGCGTACGTCTGCATATACGTGCATTCGTAGATTACCCGAGTGCCCCGAAGCCTAAGCATTGCCCCTTAAGGTTGAGGATTCAGATGTTTCAGGGTTTTTGGGACCCTAAACCCTAAACCCTGAACCAAAAATGTAAGCTGTGCGAAGTGAGGCAACCGAGATCAGATCCTCTCCACGGCCACGAGGGTCAACACATCACTACAGGCACCCGATTTTGGGGCTTTAGAGTTTAGGGTTTAGGGTTTGGGGTTTAGGGTTTTAGGGTTGTTTTCCACTTACGGGTTCCTTTCTCTTGTTAGGTGCCCATTGCTCTTATTCACTTTTTCAGGAAGCATAGCGATAGAGGTGCTCGAACAACTGCACTTTGCGGTATGGGTCGTATTGAGGGGAGTAACCTCTGTTTTCGTCAGTTACTTCCTTTATTCTTCCCCTAGAGGCAGTAGCTAAACCCTAAACCCTAAACCCTAAACCCTGAACCCTAAACCGTAAACCCTAAACCCTAAACCCTAAACCCTAAACCCTAAACCCTAAACCTTAAACCCTAAACCCTAAACCCTAAACCCTGCCCTTTAGAAAGGAAAGTGCTCGCGGTAATCCTTCGTGCATTCAACGTTTTTAAGGTCGAAGTTAGACGGACCGAGGAGCGATAGGCTACGTAGGCGACATGGGTTTAGGGTTTAGGGTTTAGGGTTTAGGGTTTAGGGTTTAGGGTTTAGGGCATGTCAGGGGGCTCAATGTGAGGGGAAGGGAGTAGAGTACAGGGCTGAGACCTTCTGGAGCACTAGGCACAGCAGCGAACAGCCGCCAGTCTTTGGTTTCGCGCTAGGGTCATACAGGTTCTTCTAAATCTTGCCGGTTGGTCACTAGGGTTTGTTCTCGTGGCTTTTGCAACGTTTTTTTTGTTATGCAGTTCGGTATGTTACAGAAGCACTAAATATCCATCCTTAAAACAACAAAACACATGTTTTCATTCTTAAAAACTAGTTTGGGCACACCCCCAACACACCAGCACAGTGCAAGCCCAAAATCTGAAGCTTCAAAAATCCAAAGCATGTTTTCTCAAAAAGAAGTTTCGGCAAGCCCCACAAAATCAGTGTAAGCCCAAACCTCAAGCCTCAAAAGCTCCACAAAAGTCTATTCCTTAAACAGTCGTTTCTGGAAGCCCGAAAACCATGAATGAGCTTAAAGCCCCAGTTTTGGACACACAACCTCTGCGCTGCTTAGCTAGTAGTTAGTAGTGTGCCATGCAGTCCCAAACGTAAACCCCCAAACCCTAAACCCCAAACCCTAAACCCTAAGCCCCAAACCCCAAACCCTAAACCCTAAACCCCAAACCCTAAACCCCAAACCCTAAACCCTAAACCCCAAACCCTAAACCCTAAACCCCAAACCCTAAACCCCAAACCCCAAACCCTAAACCCCAAACCCTAAACCCCAAACCCTAAACCGCATCTTTGGGAAGGACCTGGCAGACCACGGACGCCTCACGGACCTTGACTTCACAGAGGCGGCTCAGAGCTTTCAGGGTGGGGAGGGTGGTGTTTTAGGGTTTAGGGTTTAGGGTTTAGGGTTTAGAGAGCTTTCAGGGTGGGGACTTTTTTGTGTTTAGAGGGCTGATGGGGCTTATGGGGCTTGTGGGGCTTATGGGGTTCAGGTTGACAGGGGCTTTGGGCGTAGGGATTGTTTAGGGTTTAGGGCTGAGGGTTTAGGATTTAGGGTTTGGGGTTTGGGGTTTGGGGCTTTTGGGACGTATAAGGGCGTTAAAGGTACAGGGACAGGGAGCAACCAAAAGGCATGAAGGTGTGAATCTCAGGGGAAGAAGGGCTACCGCCTGAACCCCAAACCCTAAACCCTAAACCCTATACCCTAAACCCTAAACCTAAACCCTAAACCCTAACACCCCTTAAACCCTAAACCCTAAACCCTAACACCCCTTAAACCCTAAACCCTAAACCCTAACACCCCTTAAACCCCATAGACGCATAAACTCCGTAAGCCCTAAAGCCCGGACAAAAACCTACACCTGCTACAAAGCCTAGAGCCCTGTGAGCTAAGGCCTCGCCCCAGCCGCTTCCCCCTAAACCCTAACTTGCAAGCGCTAAACCCCATACCCTAAACCCCACACCCTAAACCCTTTTCCCCTTTCACCCAAATCCCACACCCTAATCCCAAGACCCTAAACCCCAAACCCCCAACCCTAAACCCGAAACCCTAAACCCCAAACCCTACTAAACCCCAAACCCTACTAAACCCCAAACCCTAAACCCGAGAACCCCCCCCCCCCAGCCCTCCTCACAGGATCCGTCTTCGGTCCCTTCCCTGGCGCTGGTGCCGCAGCAGCTGCAACATCCTCAGGCTCTACAGGCCCGGTTCTTTGTTTTTTTTTTTGGGTGGCGGAGGTTTGGGGTTTAGGGTTTAGGGTTTAGGGTTTGGGGTTTGGGGTTTAGGGTTTGGGGTTTAGGGTTTGAGGTTTGGGGTGTAAACTTTGCGGTTGGTTTAGGGTTGTGGGTAGGTCTTCGTGGGTCTGAAGGGCCAGGGTGTAGGGCTGCACTTTCAGCCCTGGAACTCGACATGTACTGCTTTTCTCGAACTACGGAGCAAATGGATCATGGAGCCAACGGCAAAGCCAGTATAGGTGGGGTAGGGATTAGGGTGTAGGGTTAGGGCTAGGGTTTCTGTGTGGGTATGTATACCCATGTCATACACTTGGCGTCAGAGGCATGTTCGAAGCTCCCAACCCTGGATGATTCATCTATGCATATAAAAATATGCACATATATGGTCTCGGGCTCCCCCCCCCCCCCCCCCCCCCCGCCCGCAACATGGTATCCGCCCGCCGCCCCCCCCCCCCCCCCCGCCCCAAACCCAAACCTCTCCCCTAGACCTTAAACCAACCTTAAATCTCACACCCTTATGCTTATCCGTAACCTTCAACCCCAAACGACAGGGGAGGCTAAACCTCAAACCCTAAACTTATGTAAACCCTCAACCTTAAACCTTAAACCCTCACCCGACCCCCAAACGATGGGGTCTTAGGCTGAGATTGAACCCCGCCAGCCGTGCCAGGAAGAGACGCAGCGCATGCTGCAGCTGACTTGGCTTTAGAGCCGGGTGGGGGGGTTGGGGTTTCCACTTCCAGCGTGAACTGGCTTAGGGTTGAGGGCTTAGGGTGTAGGATTTAGGGTTCAGGTTTCAGGGTTTCCTTTGCCATGTCGCTTGGTTCAGAGTTTCGCCTCGTCGGGTTCGGGCCTAGGAACTTCCCGTGGTAGCCTCCTTTCCTCTGTTTCCTGAGGGGCGGCTTCCGATAAACTAGGTGCAAACATACTCTTGAGCATTAGCAAAAACCCTAAACCCTAAACCCTAAACCCTAAACCCTAAACCCTTAAACCTAAACCCTAAACCCTGCAGGTTGTTTTTTCGTTTATGGAACAGAGTCGGCCATCTTTCGCTTGCTTGACGGGAGCCTCCCGGACACCTCCAAGGCAGGAGCGCGTGCAGCAGCAGCTGAAGGAACTCAAGCAGCGGCGCAGCTGCAGACGGGGGATTTAGGGTTTAGGCTTTGTGGGTTTAGGGTTGAGGGTTTAGGGTTTAGGGTTTAGGGTTTAGGGTTTGATTCTGGGCTTTGTGGGTTTAGGGTTCAGGGTTTGTGGGTGCAGGGTTTAGGGCGACCTCGTAGAGGGGGGGCCCAATATAGTCTAGAAAGGGTAAGATGTCGGGCAGTTCGCATGAGAAAGATGTTGGGAACAATTAGGCAGAGGATGATGCAGGTAGCTCTATTAGATCCCGTCTTGGAGTTCTACAATTAGCCTTCAAAAAGCATGAAGTACGCGTCAGTCATTGGGTCCACTTTGTCTTTCATGAAGGGCATACAAAGGAGCTAGTTTCGGAGGCCGATCATGTCCGGGGTTTAGGGCTTCAGGATTTTGGAGTGACCTGAGGCCGCTTAAACCATCGGTTTGTTGGGATTATGCGGCATCGGGCACGATACCCCTAAACCCGAACCTAGCTGAGTGAGGATGTAGGGTTGGGGATGTGTGTTTTGATCCAAGTGCCGGAGTCTGGTAAAGTTGGACCTCAAACGCATACTTCTGAGCCCCAGTGGCCTGCCAGCAGCTTGCTTTCAACTATCCTAAACCCTTAACCCTACACCCCCAAAGCCCCCCAGAACCCCAAAACCCTAAGCCCGTCCTTGGCTCAGGCGCAGTGCGCAGAGTGCGCAGGTGGGAGTTTATACGGTCCCTTGTAATTTCGGCCCATACCTCTCTTAAAGGGTTCTGCAGTATGGGGCTTAGGGTTTAGTCTTTAGGCTTTACGGGTTAAAGTTAAGGGTTTAGGGTGTAAGGGTTGAAGGGTTGAAGGGTTGAAGGGTTGAGGGGTTGAAGGGTTGAAGGGTTGAAGGGTTGAAGGGTTCAGGGTTTAGGGTTTAAGGTCCGCAAGGAGGGAGGGCCCAAGCAACTAACGGCCTTCGTTCCGAACATGAACTGCTACATGGTTCAAAGTCTGTTGCTGAGTGACTGTTTTCGTTGTTAAAGCTTCCCCCGGGCTCTTCCTGGGTTAACCCGAAAGTAGGCCCATGTGGGTGGTTGTCAAAATTATTATGAACCCTTTCGGGGTACCCTAAATATAAATGAATAAATAGATATACATATATATATATGTATAGATTTACATTTGGTGCCGTATTATAATCGGGATCCGAATGTACCGAAGACGTATCTCCGAGAAATGGATGAGCTTTCCCGATGTTCCTGCCTAGAACTTCAGTCGTCTGGTCTTGACGAGAGTTTGGGTTTTGGGTCTAGGGTTTAGGGTTCAGGGTTTAGGGCTTAGGGCTTGAGGGTTTAGGGTTTAGGCTTTTTAGGGAGAAAAGTGTTTAGGGCATCATGTTGCTGCGGCTGCTTGGATACCAGCCTGACCCCAAAGCCTGCACGATGCTGCGCAGCCCCTCAGCCTTACCTTATAGCTGAGTGAGCACACTTCACACTTTTTTAATTTTCTGGGATACTATAATCCCCGATAGAACCGGCAGTGTACACTTTAAAGGGGCTTATGAACTCAGCAACCAAGTTGCCTTGAATGGAGAATTGCTTGGTGTGCTGTGCATATGTTCCATTTTTAAGGGTGTATGGGCTTTTCATTATTCTACGGACTTATGGGATCTTGAAGGTTCCAGCCTGAAAATATAATGCAATAACGGGTGCAGAGTTATGCTATAACATGACTCCCAAAAGGTCAGGGTTTAGGGTTTAGGGTTTAGGGTTTAGGGTGTTAGGGTGTTAGGGTGTTAGGGTGTTAGGGTGTTAGGGTGTTAGGGTGTTAGGGTGTTAGGGTGTTAGGGGTCTTCTCGGATTCGGCTCAGAGAGAAGCCAATTCCTTAATGAAGGGGCTTCGGGGTACGCAACTAGGGTTTGGGGTTTAGGGGTTACTAGTAGACTCCCTAAACCCTAAACCCTAAACCCTCAAGCCTAAAGTTGGAACATGGTTAGAGGATGATTATGGCTCGGATCCTCTTTAGGATGCCTCTTGGGGTATGGGGACAAGGATGTTCCAACTTTTTGGAGTTTCCCTAAACCCCAAACCCTAAACCCTAAACCCCAAACCTTGGTCAGCGTTAGAGATCCTTTATACTTTTTTCTGCTGCTGTGCTCAGGTGCATAACAGAGGTATATGTTAATACCGGTTCCAGAGATCATGAGTCGACAGGCATGACATGGAGAACATGAACCCTTCCCGAAAGCCTCTAAATCACATTGAGAACTCATACCCGAATGTTCATCCTAACCGCCGCCCATGCCGTTCGAGCAGCTGCTCAGCTTGGGGCCCCAGCTTTCGGGGTTGATTAGCCTTAGTGGTTGGGTGGATAGTCTAGGCCCTGTAAAAATAATTCTGGGCTGTGCAGCCCTAGATAAGCCCCGGGCTGTGTAGCCCATAGGTTAGTCCATGTAGCCCCTGGTTTAGCCGATGGGCTGTATAGCCCCTAGTTTAGTCCATGGGCTGTGCAGCCCCTAGTTTAGCTGATGGTCTGTGTAGCCCCTAGTTTAGCTGATGGGCTGTGTAGCCCTTAGTTTAGTCAATGGGCTGTTGGGGCGCAGGTTGGGATTGGTGGGGGCAAGGTTTAGGGTTTCAGGGTTTCGGGTGTCTCTGCTAGCATCCTTTTTTTGGGGACCGAGCGTGTTTAACTAGCATCCTGCTTTTTGGGGACCGAGCGTGTTTCACTAGCATCCTGCTTTTTGGGGACCGAGCGTGTTTAACTAGCATCCTGCTTTTGGGGGACCGAGCGTGTTTAACTAGCATCCTGCTTTTCGGGGACCGAGCGTGTTTAACTAGCATCCTGCTTTTCGGGGACCGAGCGTGTTCAACTAGCATCCTGCTTTTCGGGGACCGAGCGTGTTTAACTAGCATCCTGCTTTTTGGGGACCGAGCGTGTTTAACTAGCATCCTGCTTTTTGGGGACCGAGCGTGTTTAACTAGCATCCGGCTTTTTTCCCCTAGTTCAGTCAATGGGCTGTGTAGCCCCTAGTTCATGCAGTAGATGCCTTAGTCGATGGGCTGTGAAGCCCCTAAGAAGACTGGAAATATATGAACCGCAACGATAATGATGGCTTGTATGGATACAGGAGCCGTGTAGGGTTGAGGGTTTAGGGTTTAGTGTTTAGGGTTTAGGGTTTTAATTTAGGGCTTATAGAAATAGAAAAGGTTTGTGTCCGGATTTTTGGGGGGGTCTGGGGGGTTTTGTTTTTAAATTTGAGTTATGGGGTGGTTGGGGGGGTTGGGCGGGGTTGGAGGGGTTTGGGGGGTTGGGGAGGGGGGGGGGGGGGGGGGGGGTGGGAACCCCTTTTTCGATGAGGGTTTGGGGTTTAAGCCAAAAACTAAGCCCCTTCTCCTCACTTTTGTTTCCCATCAGCTCTTCCTGAATTATTGACGTGAAAACCCGACCCCCAAGCCCCCCACCCCCAACCCCCTGGTCTGGGGCTGGGTGCTGTAGAAGGTTGTGTTGCACCATTCAGGGTCTTGGTCTTTTTTGGTTGTCTGATGTTCTTAGACTGTGAGGGATTGAAAGCATACAATTTATATTTATCCTGGCCTTGAGGGTTTAGGGTTTACTTAGGGTTTAGGGTTTAGGGTTCAGGGTTTAGGGTTTATGGTTTTTTTTGAGACTTTAGGGTATAGGGTTTAGGCCCACATGCGCGGCTTTTGCAAGGCTCAACCTGCCGCATTCTTCAGCGACGCTGCGCTGCCTCAGTCAGTGCCCAAGTGGGCAGCGCGCAGGTTTTTCAGTTCGGCATGGGTTGCAGGGTAGCCGTTTAAGTCGGAAACGCAGCAAACGTCCAGCAAACGTGAACAAACCTGAAGCTGACACCCTGACCTCAATCCCGCAATGAACAGCATGTCGCCGCCCGATGCACCCCCTTTCCTGATACACCTTCCAGGGAGTGGAGGGATGAGGGTTGGGTGCTTGTCGAGGGTCATGCAATTGAGGTTTCGGCGCTTCTGGCCTTCGACCCTGTTCACGTCTTTTGTGGTCTGGGGTGGGGTGGTTGAAGTCATGGTTCTCATGGTTGCCATCTGCCATGTGGCCCCGGAGTGTCTGGGCAGGGTGAATGATAGAGGATTCATAGAAGAATACCAATATAGGTTTCTATATTCATTTCCTTCAGCATTCTTTCCGTTTTCTAATCCCCCAATTTTGTTCTGCTCTCCACACCCCGGGCCAAGGGGTTTAAGTCCACACAAGCAATGTAGCGATTTTAATACAAACCTCCTCGGGACCCGCCCTTTGTACATGTAGCTCATAGCTCGAGTGATGTAATTCCAACGTACTCACGAAATTAATCGTGCCTGCGTTCGTTCTCAGTTTTGCAGCCATGGGCCGAAATGCCCGGCAGAAGCGCGACCGCGAGCTGCATGTGGGCGAGCACTGGGATGAAGAGGCCTTCGCTAAGGCACGCGAAGAATCTGTCTCTGAATTGGTCAGCTGTTATGAGTATTAAGGGCAGGCTACGAGTTGGCTGGGTTTAGAGTTCAGAGCAACCAACCAGGAATATGACTGAGAATGATTCATTAAGATCAAGCTCGCACTTGTTTAGCAGACTATCTCCCATGATCAGGAGAGGCGGGTCAAGGCGAAGGAGGCAGCTGCCAAAGCAGTGGTCATCCCTGCCAAGCTGCCACCCTGTCCAGGGCCGAAGCTGATCGCTGCACGCTTTCCTGTGCCTTCTTGTGCAAGAAGTAAGCATTTCCAGGTCTTATTAAGGTTTAGGGTTTACTGTCTTAGGGTCTTAGGGGTTTAGGGTTTTGGGCTTTTGGGGCTTAGGGTTTGGGGTTTAGGGTTTAGGGTCTAGGGTCTAGGTTCTTTAGGGCATTTAAGGCATTTAGGGTTTAGGGTAAGGGATTAGGGTTTAGGGCAAGGGTTTAGGGTTTAGGGTTTAGGATTTAGGGTTTAGGGTTACCCTTAATTTTAGGGTTTAGGGTTCAGGGCTCAGGCTTTAGGGTTTAGGGTTTAGGGTTTAGGGTTTAGGGTTTGGGGTCGAAACCCTCAACTCTGAACTTTAGAGTTGAGGGTTTAGGGTTTTAAGTTTCGGGTTTCGGGTTTAGGGTTTACGGTTAAGGGTTTAGGGTTTAGTGTTTACGGGTGTTTTTGATATTGTAAGCGTAGCATCCATCCTGTAAGGCGCCCCCGACACGCAAACTGCCTTTGTCGACAAAGCCCATGCCGCCGCGACCCAAGCTGGAGAACAAGGAGGAGGAGGGGGGGGGGTCAGAGCCGTCACAGCCATCACGGCTACCTGTCCCGGCCCAGGCGGACGTCAAGGAGGAGGTGGCAGAGGAGGGCCAAGCCAACCCCCCACCATGCCCTCCCCGGGCATCGGAGCCGTCACAGCCATCACGGCTACCCGTCCCAGCCCAGGCGGAGGTCAAGGAGGAGGAGGAGGAGGACCAAGGCAACAACCCAAGCTCCCCTCCACCATGCCCTCCCCCATCCAGCGCGCCTCCGCCAGCGAGTGTACCAGGATCCAACGCATGTCCCGCCAAGGCCCCTGAGCCGGCGATGCCCATAGCGGGGGGTGGTGCAACTTTGCCTTGTAGCAAAATCGTGTTTGGTTTAAGCTTATAAGCTGACATTTTCTGTTGGATCATTCAGACTCGCCGGTGCCCTTGCTCAGGTGACCCCGCCATGGCTGATGTCGCTGCCCATGTTCGAAAAGTGGCTCTTTCCGTC